AGAAGGGGAAAGAGAAGCAAGAGTGTTCATGTTCGTCAAAGTTACCAAATCATGCATCAGGAAAATTAATTCTTTCTCTCTTGAGAGAGTTGGTGGAGAAAAGAAAGGGATTTTTACAGCCAACCCAAAAGAGACAAGTTTGGGTCGTAATCCTTTATTAGGAAACAAATTCCATGAAAATCAGTGGGACTTACCTCCATGTAAACACAAATATGATTGCAATTTCCTGCTTGTATGAAGTTACAAGCAGGAAATTGTAACTTACTAATCAATAAATCATATACTCTGGAGTGCCTTAGTTTTCAAAGTGTTTGTTCCACCTGCATAATCAAATCCAAGCCATCCAAATGTAAGCACTTTGTGTACATCAATCCTTTCTCTTTGTTTATTATTATTATTATTATTATTATTATTATTATTATTATTATTATATTTATATTATACTAGCCATCCCCTGCCACGTGTTGCTGTGGCCCAGTCTGTGTATATGTGTTTTGTGTGTGTATATATTTGTGTATATGTGTATATATGTGTGTTTGCGTGTGTGTATGGGTTGTAATGTTTTTCTTTTGGCTTTTTAAGTCCCCTCCAATGTGTTTTTCAGTGTTTTTATGAGTGATGGTCACTTGTTGGTCTGTTAGGGGTGACAATTCATCCAGTGGTTTTGGAGTTATGTTAATCCCACAAACTAACATTACATTTTTATTTATATAGATTTACCGTATATACTCGAGTATAAGCCGACCCAAATATAAGCCGAGGCACCTTATTTTACCACAAAAAACTGGGAAAACGTATTGACTCGAGTATAAGCCAAGGGTGGGAAATGCAAGCGCTATGGGTAAATTTCAAAATAAAAATAGATACCAATAAAATTACATTAATTGAGGCATCAGGAGGTGAAATGTTTTGAATATTTACATAAAACTGTAATTTGAGATAAGACTGCCCAACTCTGATTAAATCATTACATATCTTCAATGTAAATGTACTTTATTTATGACATTTATATGCCGCCCTTCTCACCCGAAGGGGACTCAGAGCGGCTTACAAGATATATATACATACAATATATTATTAGCATAGTACAATATCAGTATTATATATTACTATATTGTACTATACCGTTATATTGTAATATTATTAGCCAACTCTGATTAAACCATTATTCTAACCTTCTTTAATGTAAACATACTTACGTATCCTTCCAACAATAATAAAGATAGTAAAATAATAAATATAATAATAATAAAGAAAATAAATAAATAAAATTATAATAATAAATAGAGTAAAATAATAAATGTAATAATAATAAGAGTAAAATACTGTAAACATAATAATAATAATAATAATAATAATAATAATAATAATAATAAATTGTGTAAAATAAATGTAATAAAAATAATACTAATAACAGAGAAAAATAATAAATAACCTTGACTCCAGTATAAGCCGAAGGGAGCTTTTTCAACCTAAAAAGGGGGCTGAAAAACTAGGCTTCTACTCGAGTATATACAGTATATTTATATTATATTATATACCCCGCTTTATCTCCTCAAAGGAGACTCAAAGCGGCTTGACATAAAAGCACTAATATACAATTTTAAATACACATAAATGCAAACATTACAATAGAATTGAACACAAGCAACACTTAAAAATCCACAGTTCCAATACATCAAAACAGTTAAAAACCATCGTGATTTAGATCAGGGATTTCCAAAATCTAGTCCTTTAGATATTTTGGACTTTAGTACCTAGATGCCTCGTCCCATTTGGCCAACGGTCAGAGTTACTGGGATCTGCAGTCCAATAACACCCAGAGGATCAGAATTTGGAAATTCCTGATAGACACATAAAGGTTGTTTTTGTGTTCCTCTTTTGCAAAATTTATAAAACACAATAGTGCCTGTGGATAAAACTGGCTATCTTCAATTAACGAACTAAAGTGCATCCTTACATGCAACTAAAAAAATGTAAAGGTTTCCCCTTGACAGTAAGCCTAGTCGTGTCCGGGTGGTACTCATCTCCATTTCTAAAGCGAAGAGCCAGCGTTGTCCATAGACGCCTCCAAGGTCATGTGGCCACTGGCATGACTGCATGGAGCACCATTACCTTCCAGCAGGAGCGGTACCTATTGATCTACTCACATGTTTTCGAACTGCTAGGTTGGCAGGAGCTGGGCTAACAGCGGGAGCTCACCCTACTCCCTGGATTCGGACTACTCAAGGTCAAAGACCCATTTAAGAAGCCACGTTTTAAGGCTAGACCGAGAGGTTTGGAGAGTGGGAGGCTACCCTAATCTCTCTAGGGAGGGCATTCTAGAGCAGGGGAGCCACCACTGAGAAGACCATCTTTCTCATCCCCACCAACCGTACTTGGGGTGGTGGCGGGACTGAGAGAAGGGCCTCCCTGGCAGATCTCAGAGCCCGTGGCAGTTTATGGAAGGAGATGCAGTTTCGAAGGGCATATAGGGCTTTATAGTAGGTATACAATCTCACACTATTGCTTAGCCTCAACCTTTTGTCATTGGAATATATGTCCCCCCCTCCCTCATGGGAAAGCCTGATTCCACAACCCCCACTATAATGAGTCCTCCTCCGCAAATAATCTGTCCCTCTTTTATATCGCCTGAGTTTTTAATTAGTTTTAATCAGTCTCTCTTTTAATCATTACATGTAGCCCGCCCATTGTCATTGTGCCTATTGTAATTTTATATTGCTATGTATTCACATGTTTTATGTAATTATGTTTTTGTTGTTTATTGTTTGCGTTTTCGGTTTTACTTTATTGTAAATTGTTGTTTGGGCTTGGCCTCATGTAAGCCGCTCCGATTAGATTATTATTATTATTATTATTACTATTATAGGTGATAACTTGCACTTTTAATTGAGACTGGAAACTGTCAGAAGCCAGTGGAGCTGTTTTAATAGGGGTATGGTATGCTCCCTACAGCTAGCCCCAGTTAGTAATCTGACTGCCAACTGTTGTGGTTCAGCAACAGCATGATGGACATGATGGGATTGAGAGTGCAAGTGGGCATGATGGGAATGGGAATACAGATGCAGGTGTGAGATTTCAGATTTCTCAGTTTTCTCAGCCACAGTCTGTAGCTAGAGAGAATCCCTTGTTCTCAAGGGAAAGGAATGTGGCTGATAACACACTCGGTGAAGGTCAGCGCGAGCTGCAGGTGTCAAGGAGAAGTTTACGGATTGCGGCCAAATCTTGAGGCCATCTGCTGGTGGGAAAACTGCTCGTTAGCTGTTCTGTTTAATGTTCAATGTTTTGATGATTTTCCTATAAGAAGACTGCTTGAAAGCTGATTCAGTGTCAGATCCAACTTTGCAATATGGATTGCTGTACTTTTGGCTCTAGGGCTTGGGGCCTTGGGGTTCATTTGCTTCCTGTAACTTCATGCTATTGCCTGGATTGTATCCTGCTTCTTTGCCTCAATTTTCCTGCTTGAATCAACAGAACTTATGGGACCTATACTTTGTACTATTGAACTTTTACTGCCTTTTCTTGGATTTGTTTGAAACTTCAATAAACTTCTTTCTTCTCAAGTTTGGCTGGTTTGTCAGAGAGCAAGGTGAAGCTTAACCTGAGACGCAACACCAACTATTTCTTAACTACAATTTCTGAGCTGTCTTCAAGGGCAGCCCCATGTAGAGTGTATTACAGTAGTCCATTCTGGATGTAACTAAGGCGTGGACCACTGTGGTCAAGTCTGGCTTTTAGAGAGGTATGGGTTTTGTTGTAGTTCAGCGTGTTGGTAGCATTGCTACTCCTGGTAGCAGGGAAAAGGTCTGCTCTGGAGTCGGAGGGAGAACAACAGCGTAAGCGCATTAGGGAAATCATTATGGCCCCAAGTGATACTGATACGTTTCAAGGCTTCTCGGATTGCGAAATGGGGGATGGGGAGGAGAGCAGAGGTGTAAAGAGGGCTGCTCGCGACCCGGAGTCTGAAGGGGAATTGCAAAGGAAGCACATCCGGGAAATACTTAGTGCACCAACAGAGGAAGAGGACTTCCTGGGGTTTGAAAGGAGTTCTGGGTCTGGGAGTGATATGGATGAGGAGGAATTAGATTGGACCCGTGTGCAACAAATAAGGGACATTTGTAACCAACCCACCTCCAGTGAGGAATTTGAGGGGTTCACTGAGGATTGGCAGCCAGGGACCTCTTGGCAGGATCTAAGTCTTAGCAGACGCTGGCAGAGGTGGAGGGATGGGCGCTCGGATTCAGCTGCGGGGTTGGGAGCAGCTGAGAGCGACGAGGATGGGGTGGGGAGCTCATCAAGCTCTGATGAGGAACTTTGAGATAAAAGTGGGGTCTGTGGGCATGATACTTTGCAGAAGGCAAAGC